ATGTAGTTTACGTTGGTTTTTAAGATACAAATACTGCGACTTCTTGACACTTACGTCTCAACTGGAAAAGCTCTATATATTTTGCAAATATTTGGATTTTCAAAATTCTTGATGAAGTAAATTACAGGTCTGTTTAACATATTTCAGACTGGTGATAGTTCATATGGCTTTCGTTTGGACTTCCAAAGTGGAAAAGGCTCAAATGCAATTAATTGTAAATAGGTTAACAAGCTCACAGCAACACAGGTTAACATAACTTTATGAAAACAACTTGTGGCTCCTAAATGAATCCATTCTTCAGTGTAATGTGACCATGTGTCTTGGACTACAGAACCCTCAAAGTTGCTTTAACCATGCCCCATTGGAGCTTATGAAAAGATCTGGTATTTTTGCCTAAAATCAATCCGAATTTGACTGAATGCCTGCATGGATCACAAAGAGTCTGGCATAATGCTAACTTAAGTAGATGTTGTTTGACTAAACAACAAAAGAGATGTTTTTACTGTAGGTATCCAAGCTTGACTTAGTTGTAAAATTGTTTAATTAAACTTTGTACAAAATTATGAAGACAAATGTGAACCACATTGTACAAAATTATGAAGACAAATGTGAACCATATCCACTTTTTGAATGTTGTTCCATGAAATTGATTACTAGCACATTCATTGGGAGCAGATAAAAAACCCACATAACCATAATAATTTATCTACACCTTGGTTTTCTCTACACTCTCTAAATCCTGCTGGCCCAGTGCTAAGGGCAAATTTTGAATGTAACATTTTTGGTCAAGCATGAGTTGCTCATTGATATCATTTTCCATAATTTATTTATTTATTTATTTCGAGTACTTCTACCCCGCCCTTCTCAACCCCCTAGGGGGGACTCAGGGCAGCTTACAACCGGCACAATTCGATGCCAACAATTCAACAACTAAAATACATAACAACAGTAATCATAAATAGTTAAAAACAATCAATTATTACAATAACAACTAAAAGAAGCCAATCTAGTGTCTAATGTTCACCAAGTTCTAAAAATCCACAAGTCAATTCAGCATTTATTTACTGCATTTGTTGACCGCCGTTCTCAGCCCTAGGGCGACTCCAATCTCTGGTCTCTGGTCCAATCTCTGGTCGTCATTACCTTGTCAGTCTGCCAGATTACCCAAAGGCCTGGTCCCATATCCATGTTTTCAACTTCCTTCTGAAGGAAAGGAGGGATGTTGATGACCTAATTTCTCCGGGGAGTGAATTCCACAGGCGAGGGGCCACCACTGAGATGGCCCTGTCTCTCGTCCCCACCAGTCTCACTTGTGATAAAGGTGGGACTGAGAGCAGGGCCTCCCCAGAAGATCTTAAACTCCAAGGTGGGACATAGAAGGAGATACGTTCGGACAGGT